ATCAATGAAGACAAGATTTTCTTTTAAATAATAGTCTAAATCCAAAGTTTGTGAAAAAGATAGTTATGTAATACTATTACAGACCATTTGCCTCGTTCTGTAATAGTAGTATATCATCTCTAATTTGATATCTGTGGAAAAATAGATTGAGATGCAAATTGACGAAAGCATAAACTGTCTGGCTTGCCTGTTCCGCCTCCTTCGCCGGGGCTGGCCGCACGCCACCGGGTCGGGCCTGGCCAGGCCGCCGTGCCGACAGAGGGCTCATAACGGGCAGGTGGGTGACGCAACGGCGCGGAAGGGCGAGGGGGGCAAGGTGTTTTCCCGAATTTCACTTTACGACGCTCCTATTCGTCCGATTTGCATGATTGTCACAGTGTTGGATTCAGGAAGCATGTCGCCATCGCGCTATAAGCCCACATATTTTAAATTTTTTCTCGGAAGTTTGAGAACCATTTTCAAATTCGAGTTTTTGCTAGATTTTTTGAAAAAAGGACTTCGTAACATAAATTCTATTTTAAAAAGGCGACAAATGCCGTTTACAGATCTAAAATCGGACCATTGGTTGAGTCTTTATCGGATAAGTAAATTTTCCTGTGATAGTGCTGTAATCTATTGAATTTTTCAGTGCATTTACCCTTAAACCATACATAGGATATTATCCAAATTAGAGAAACTCTTGTCCATCTGGCTCGAATCGAAAATTAAGATTTTGAAAAGCATTCATTCAAAGATGGGAGTACATATTATGAAGCCCCTCCGATATTTTCAAAGTTTTCTCAAAAATCGGCTCCAAATGTTATTAAAAACGTACCTTTAATTGTAAAAACCCGAATGAGTTTATTCTAAATAAGCTGAACAAATTTTAACTTTTTATAGATAAAACACTTTAACTGTTGATTCTGAAAATTTTCATTTGAAGAAGTTAGTCACCTTAGCCTCAAATATAAAAATGTGAACAAATCGCTTATGTAAATATAAACGACGTCAGAGACACGTCAAAAAATTACAATTTGTAATTTTTGAAAAAACAAAAGAATAGCGAAAAATGACGTTTATATCATCTTATAGAGTATTTAGCACTATCCATACTAAATGTTTGAGATAAAATTTGGAGCAGTTTTTTCAGAAATTCTGTTTTTTGTTGTTTTTTTCAATTGCACATATTGCACGACTACTACTAAAATGTTCCAAAAAATACCTGACCTTAATGAAAGAATTTGCTATAGAGATCAAATTTTATTTGAAAGAAAAATATTAAATTTTGTAGTTTTAGGAAGATGATCAAAAAATCAAAATTTTGCAATTTTTGAAAATTTAGAGTTAACTGTGAAAATCGGACCTCTGCCACCTTTATAAGTGTATTTTATTTTAGAAAGAAAGAAATTTAAACAAAAATTTGGATCCACTTTTGCGAAAATTTTGAAATTTTTTGTGAAAATTTGGAGGGGCTTCATGTAAAGTACCCTCAAAGTTTGAAGAAAATTTTTCAAAATCGCAGCACCTCGAGTAAATCTATATTGGCCACGAGTAAATCTATATTGGCCACGGAATCTCCGTTTTGAAAAAAATCGTACGTATGGTTTATGCGCTAGGGGTGTTCGCAGACAGAAGGACATTCAGATGAACGGATGTTTTGCCATCAGTTGGCTTTCCGGTATTACGGGTCCACAAAACAGGGATTATGGTTACATCACGTATTAGATGAGTTTTTTCTTAATTTAGATACTAGATTAATCCAGCTATCCACCTATCCGTCTATCAGGGGCCGGCAATGTTTGTTTTTCTACTGAAAATCCGCCGTCTTTTCGCGCAGCTTTACATAACTTTTATGTACTACTGTACTTTACCTGTACCTTACTCCGTATATACCGATGTATACGGGAAAGTAAAAATGACCTTTCACGCGCGGGTAACTATTGCCAAAATCAGCCTTTTTTGTACAGATGTAGAAAAAGAGTTTTCCAGTAAAACATTTAGGGTCGGTAATGTCATTCAAGTAATGTCAGTACAAGACACTCAATACTGCAGAGAATGAAGCTTTGCGTGTTCTTAAACCGAATTAAAACTGTGCAAGAACCATCAGCTGGGCAGGATCTGACTGCGTCCTGTGACGTAGTGAAATGAGAATTTCAAATAACCAAATAAAAATAGTATATTAAAAAGTTATAAACAAGTTACAATAAATTGCTAAATTTAAACACTCCGGCAACCTTTTCCTTCCAGTACCCTGCTTTACCGCAGAAAAATAAAAGCCACGCGTGATGCGAGCTGTCGGACTTCCGTCCCGTGACAATTACCGTCACATAGCCTGACGCCAAAATTTTACCCGGTCGTGGCGACCGTATGCCTACAGCATGCGAGATCGTCTGGCCCTTACTCACCGGACATCTCGCCCACACTCCTACACTCCTTGTACTTACACGTACAACGCTCTCCGATGTAAACTGAATGAGAACGCGGGCGCAGATGGCGCCGCGTTAAATAGTTGAGGGCTACAACCCCCCATCACTGTTCCCTAGATAGGCTCGCTTGCTGTCGGCAAGCGAGGGCTCGCTGGCTAGCATCTTGGGAGGGGGTTACGCCCCCACACACAAGATTCCCAGGTTGGCTCGCCTGCTGTCGGTAAGCGAGGGCTCGCTGGCTAGCATCCTAGGAGTTTACAGCCTAAGGTTATTTTTGGCTCTGCAACTCTACCTGAGTCAACCGCCAGAGCGCAAACTCCCGGATGTTCAGGCCCAACCCCTTCCTCCCCCGCAGCGCACTTTCACCGACCTAACGGTTCTGGCCCTCGTGTTAACGACGCCACAGTCCCTGGTCAAGATCTCTAAAACATCGAAAGTGGTAGGAACTCAGTGAAGTCCTCTAATTGAGGGGAGGGGCAGGATGTCGCTGGCATATCCAGGGGGAGGGGGCCGGCCTCCCCCGCCCCCCAAGGCTAAGAGTTTTCATTTTCCTTCCATTATTTAGCAAAATGGATTTAAATATTTGTTCGAAATATGTAATTATTTCAACATTATATTTTACAGTATCATACCGACAGTATAAACATAACATACAATATAATAACAAATATGTTTATTATTTAACAAAAATCTATGATGGCCTCTTCCAAAATGGACGGCTGGACCCGTCCCTGAGGCACGTGATCCGCGTTCCGCAGCACAGTTCTTTGTTTTACTATGCCCCCTGTATAAATGTACAGTTCTGCCAGAGGCATCTCTGCATTTATTTAATTACTTATTGTTAAAAACAATTGTTACTAAGAGGGGGTCTAATATTATCCAAGTCATAATATCACAGTACAGAGAAAACTACAATGTTTTCAGAAGGTAAAATGATGGAAATAAACACAACATAAATAATATAAAAATGTTAAAAATTCAGAAGTCATAAAAATTATATAAAAATCTAGAGCATGAAAGATCATAGAAATATAAATCAGTTATTGATGATGTTAAGATAATATATTACCATTGGTTTGATTGTAAATAAAAAAAATAAAGTTGGTATAAAACATTACTTTACTACACAGAAAACCCTACCTGAAGGTTTAAATTATGAGTAGGTAACTAATGAAGTTAGGTACATGAAACAATTTATTTTGGTTACAGACTTTTTTTTCCATCTAGAAGGAGCACTTATAATTACTGTTACACATTGTATATAATAAACTTATACTGGCATGTCTCAATATTTAGGCTTACTATTTGTCAGGATTGCTTCTCTTTTCCTGAAATTCTGACTTTTCTCAGTTTTCTGGAACTTTCAAAAATAATTTTCAATAATAATACTTTTTATATAGCTTTTCATTATTTAAATAAAATATTAAATAAAAACATGACATGGGTACTCATTACTAATTCATTAGTTTCATGACTACTATAAATTCTCCTAAAAATTCCGTATTTTCCACTGACTTTCCTCATTCTGACTTTTTCCATTTCTGAGAAAAGTGGCCATTCTGTATGTTTTTGTTCTATAAATGATCTGTTTGCTAAGTGCATCCTCTAGTAAAAAGATTAGTAAGATCAACATTTATTATTTAATAACAACAAAGTTCTTGAAGTCACATTTGGTATATAACACAAGACCTTTGAAGTCACATTTGGTATATAAGAGTGTATTAATGGAATAACACATTGATAAAGTAAAATGAATAGATTTATTTTATCTGTTCGTTCAATAAAACGAATTAGATTTTATTTTAAACTATCCTTAAAAAGCCTAATAAATTTAATATCAATATAAATGTCCATCTTATTATAATCAAATAAATGTATATTTTATTATCGCTAGATTTAAAGAGCATTGATTAAAAACGTAGCCTCTGCTTCTAAATGGCAGAATGTTATCTTTTCTCACCAATTTGTTTGCGGTACGAATCCTTATTCAGACGCACGACTAGCTCTTGGTTAGCGTGCTCACAGTTTCCGCTTCCACTACGCGGTTCCGGGTTCGATTCCCGGTCGAGCCAGGACTATAGTCACTATAGTATAGTATGCGTTTTCCTTGCATTGTCCCAGTGTATGTTGCTGTGTGACGATAAGAAAATTCACCTCTCAGGTTAAGAAGACCGGAATACGGAGTGGAGATGTCGAAGTGCAAATCCACTACGTGGTAACCCCCAGAGAGTATATTACCCTTAACACATGGCTGAGAGCCAGGGGCGTCGCCGGAAGGCCAAACCCCGTTCACGGGCTGTCGCGCCAAGTACATAACATGCATACGAAACCATAATCGTGGATCTAATACTATAGTACTGTCCTTCCTGTTTCTTGCCATAACTGTCAAAATAAACAAGACAGAATGCCGTCCATTTCATAGTTTTCATCGTTTGGCCATTGATGAAATGGGAATTGATTTAATAAATAATTCAATGTACTTTTGTTGTGTTAATAATCACACAAAATATTCTAAATACCAGGACCCGAAATCACTTTTACTGCGTATGCTGGTTTATCAAGAACGAATAAAAAAATATTCAGAATTGACTTTTTCAAGTGCGACATTAACATGATTTATCTCGTTTACATCGCAGCGCCATCACTTAATTTATTTTATATCTTTTCGGTTGGTGGCTCTGAAAGATAAAACGAATGTAGCTGAATGTAGCCAACATAGCCAATTGTTGTTTTACTGAATTTATTTCTCAGGATTCTTTTTTTCTTTGTAGATGTATTGCAGTGAGTGACGCTCAGAAGTGATTAGACACGAAGGTTGTATTGCTTTCTTTGTAGCATAGTGTACTTAAATACGGAAAAGTGATGTATATTCGAAATGCCGTAGGGTTATAAATATGACGCTGTACGATTTGAATTGTGGTTGTCTGAGTCAGGTTCTGGTTGGGTCTAGGTGCTCTGAGTTCACTGTGGTATACTGAACGTGATTAAACACAAGTAATTGGAAGGGATGTGCTTGAAATTATTACTGGCCATTCAAGAAACGGTTTTCTAAAGTTAAAATAATGACGGTGTTACCTTTTTCTGTTATGTGTGGAAGATTCGCAGGTGCGGCGTGACAATTTGTTGCGTGTGCTTGGTGCGAGGTTGTTAACAGGTGAACAGTGATCTCTGGTAATGGACATTTTCCTGATCGTATTGAGTCAGAGTATTTATCAGTCATCTTCAATTCGCACGTGGAATATTGGACAGGTGTACGCGAATAAAAACCTCGAGCAGTAATGTTCGTGTTCGTAAATTGGAATTAAAAACCTGTAATTGTGAGAGTGAAGCCAGTCGCCAAAAGCTCATAAATGTTTTTGCCTTAATGAACTTTTCTTCAACTTCTATTTTGTGAAATGTTAGGCGTTAAACTTGCATTGATGGGTATTATGTGATAAAATTTCATGTTAAGTTTCTTTTTATTGTATTCGTGTTAAGAATCATGGCATCTCGAATTGTGGGACGAGTTGTTAATTTTCTAGTACAGCGAACAAGTTACTGCAATCCACTGGTCAGACAATCACAGCAGTCGTACGCAGCATGTGCACCTGCAGCAAATAAGTCTCGTGAACATACACACCATACATCACCTGTCATACCAGTTTTTAGGCGGGCAGCAGAATATTGTGATCGGATTGCGTTGCGGGACATTCATGGAGATTATACTTACCGAGGTGTATTTCTTAGTAGTAGGCAATTTGCCTGTGAAATTCGAGATAATTTAGATGGACAGCAAGAGAGAGTAGCATTCTTATGTCCGAATGATGCAACGTATGTGATAACACAGTGGGCGTGCTGGATGAGTGGCCAAATAGGTAAGAGAATATGACACTTCCTTGAGAGAATTGGAAAATGCAAGAGGTAAATGCAAAATATAAGAGATTAACTTACTTACTTTGGTAATATTTTAAAACTAAATTGTCTCTGGGTTAAATGAGTGTTTACATTTTTTAAGCTAAATAGCATCTCATTCAATTATTTACATTTCATTTTTGCAGTTTGCTACTCTATGAAAAGGACTGATATGTGACATTCTTTCAGGAAGTCTTATAAACTCATTTTTGATTTTCTGTTATTTTTGATAATTCACAATATTTCACTCTTTTCAGCTGTTCCTCTAAGTCCATCTCATCCTGCACCCATTCTTGAATACTATGTAACTGATAGTGATGTGAAGTTGTTAGTTACAACTCCAGAATATGCTGATATTATGTCAGAAATTTCAAAGAAGACTGGGCGCAAGCTTCTAATTTTGGAAGAAGCATTGCGTGTTCTAGCCATGAAACAAACCGTGAAACCAAGTTTTATAATACCTGGTTATGCAAGTGATTTTGAAGTTATTACAGATGATAGAGAGCTATTGAAAGGTGGACTTGAACCTGAATTTTATGATGACAACAATGCATTAATTCTGTACACATCTGGAACCACAGGGCAGCCAAAAGGTTTGTTATCTTGTCATTTTTTTTATCTTGTCCCATCCTTTCAAATTGTTATTCACAATATTTTTTGACTTCTTACTGAACTGGTGCCATTTTTGGTAATGGCACCTTAACTAGTACCTGGCCATTTAAAAAAAATATTGTTAATTTCACATATACACTGCGATTTATCCAACTCTGTCCCTGCTCTTGTTCAAGCTCTCGATTGGATGAAACTGTCAACAGCTGATACCTGCCAGGGTCAGAGTTGGATAAATGGCAGTATAGTGATGTAAAAATTTGTTAATTGGTAACAAGCACATTAAATGAGCAAACTGTGTAAATCATTAATCATCCTAATTGAGAATCGTGTCTGGGTCTCCTGGTTTGTGCCAAGTTGCTTTAGCCACTAAACTACTGAGATGACCAATGATATTCATATCCCTCATCAATGAATCAATATACATTGGACAATTTACTTGGGTTTTTATAACCTGGCACTTGATGTAAATCAGTTGTTGACAGTTTCATTAAATTGGGAGCTTAAACGTCACCATCATGACTGTGAAGCTCCTGATTGAATGACACCTTAACAGCTGATTTACGTCAGTTACCAAGTGTTAAAAATCCAAGAATAATACAGGTAACATTAACTAGATCTCATCATAGAAGTCAATTATCTGAGCAGAACAAACTTATTGCCATATTTGACAATGCCATTAGAGCATGTGCTACTACCCTTATGAATTTTACTACTACCTTTTATATTGTTTATTCAAATTGAATATCAACATATACTCATTTATGATTTGAAAAAAAAATTATATTTTCAGGTGTTGTGATAAGTCATAGTAATCTTCAGGCTCAGATATCTGGAATGGTGGATGCCTGGGGATGGTCTCAGAAAGATATAATTCTTCATACTCTCCCTCTCCATCATGTACATGGGATTGTAAATGCTCTTATGTGTCCTTTGCATGTTGGTGCACGGTAAGGTTCACTACTAATTAGAATTAAATGTACTTTAAAGATTAATACAGAATCTCTGATTTAGTGGAATACTATTTTAAGGTAAACCCGCATTAAGGCAAATTGTCATAAAATACAGCCATAAGAACAATGCTTTTCCACCCTCGATTTAGTGGTACAATGAAACCTGACGAGAGCACTCCTTTTGGAGATCGGTTTTCTATAAAAGAGGAATAATTATTCTAAAAGACCAATATATTTTTGCCCTCTTAGAGATGAACACTCCTCCCAACCAACGACCACCAATTTTTGTTGTAATGTTACATCAAAGTTCCTTTAAGCTTACCAGCAATCTTTGTACTGAAATAAATCCAAGCGTTCGTGAACTTCTGTGAGTCAAGCCGTTTTCAGTGACATGGGTACATGAGATTTCATGATAACTCAAACTGATGAAGGGAGGCCTTCCAGGCCATGTGAGATTGATAGTGCATCATCTAAGCACATCAACTAAGGGCCATGTCACCGTAAGTGTAGTACATGTTTTTGCTCGGTTGGTGGCAGTGGTATTCCCTCGCTGCGTGGTGAGATCCAGCACCGATCTACCATATCCTAGCGGGATTTCTCCATCCAGGTATCTTCCACCATCAGGGCACCACCGCAGCTGGGAGAAGCTTTAAGCTCAAGACTGGTCTCCCGGCATGAGTGGTAGTGTAGTGCATGTTGGTGTTAGGGGTGAGGAAGTGGTAGGAAAGTTTGTCCCCGGTCCGTTGCCCATTTGTTAGGGTTCTGCACCATCCTTTGTCTGGTATTGATCTGCTGCCCACCAGAATTCTCCTCCAGACAATGACTGAATTTGACCTAGCTGAGAAGGTAGTGTTGAAAATCCAGTCACCATCTGGACTCAAATGTAGGACCTTCTGGTCATAGAGACTGCAGTGACATCAGTTGATGCCCTGAGCCATCTCTCCCTGTGTCTCTATAAGAAGCCCTTCCGAAAAACAAGGACATTCTTCAGAACAAAAAAAGATCAGAGTCCTCCAGAGTAACATATCTTAAGAGAGCAGCAAGTCCTATATGCATAGTACAATCAAAATTTTGGACATACATGAACTGAAATTATTTTTGTTGATGACAGATGTTAAATTAATGTTACATTAGAAAGTATGCCAAATTTAATTTTTTTAACACTAAAACTAAAAAATCCGAAACTCTGTGACCGAAAGGGTTAATGATGCAGTATTCTAAAGCTTTTATTTGAAACCAGAGTAGCTTTACGATGTGAATATAGTAGTTGTAGGGAGGAGTATAATTTATTAATGCACTGATCCCTGTAAGAAGATCACCCCTCTAAAAAAGAGCAATTTTAAGGTTATAATCATGTGGTTACAGTGGTGTAAGTTTAACCGAGGAGGCCCTTTAACTGACAATATGGGGGCCCCCTAGTTAAAGACATGTCATTAATTTAATTTGGGGTTTATAAACTAAATTGTAGGAGTAAAAACTCGTATTACAATTAATTATTGTAGAAACTTAATCTTTCCTTACTGTACAATGCACTTCTACAAAAGATTGTAAAGCTTTAAAACAAGATAATTCTTAACTACATTTCTAGATCAAAATTTTGGGTGCTACAACAGTGTGTACAAATTTATAATAAACATTCATTATTTACTTGTTTTATATTATTTATGTACATTTCCAATTCTTTGTCAATGAAGCATGGGTCCCGCTAGGTTCGATGATAGGTCCTATTCTCTTTCTGTTTGATGTAAACGATTAGCTCTTGCCTATTGAAAATAGAAGAACAGTTCTGTTTGCGGATGACACAAATGCTCTTTGTACAAAAGAATAATAATAATAATAATAATAATTAAATAATAATAATAATAATAATAATAATAATAATAATAATAATATAACAAACAATAAACACATAAGTATATAATAACATTAAGTATAATAATAATAATAATAACAATAGTTATAAATAACAACAACAAGAAGATAATACAGTATATTCAGTCAGTTATAATCAGTCCGCAACAAGTCAGGAGAATTCATGTTAGAGGACATGCTGGGTTTGAAAGCTCATGCTTGAAATTGTATTTGTTGATTAGCATTTGAAAACTGTTATTTTATGTTTATACATTTGAAAACTGTTATTTTATGTTTACATCTGAAACAGTCATATTTTTTCAGTGTTAGAATGCTTAATTTGTTTGTAATTTAAATATGTCTGTGTTACCATGCTTTGATATTGTATCTGTGTGGTATCCATGTGAAACCAAAAACTTCGAGAAGAAACAAAATAACAATTATAATAATAACAATAATAATATAAGAGTAATAAGAATAATAGATTAATAGTTGTGATATTAAATTAATCAGAACAACGAATTAATACTTAAAGAAGGAAAAACAGTTTCAATGCATAATGCAATTCAAAACAGCAATCGTATGTTCCATTGAAAATGAACATTATTTGACTTAATTGATGTTAAAGTAACAAAATTTTTATGCATCTCGATTCAATTGAACCTCAAATGGAATGTACATGTAACAGAATTAAACACAATAAAGTTCATTATATTATGCATTCAGGATTCTTTTAAATTCTGACAGCCTTCTTGCTGGTCGTTGCGTGTACTTCAAAAATATACATTCCAGTCTTAAATATGGCATAATATTCTGGGATAGAATGGCATCGTGATCTCTGTAAACCTCTCTTCATTGAGCTTGGAATCTTACCACTGTTGTGCCTGTTTATTTACAAATCTGTAATGTTTGTCAAAACTGTGGGAATACGTTTTCATGCAGTACTAATATTTATAATTACAACACACATTGTAGAAATCACATTCATCAAGTGTCAATATCAAAGGCTTACTACAAGAAATGCATATACAATACACGTATGTTATTTTACCATTGCCAAATGTGTCCAACAAGTCAGTACACAAATTTAAGTTAAATTAAAATCTTTTCTGCTGCATAACTGTTTTTATAGAGACTATATTGATCATCCAAAAGAAAAATATTGATTTTTAACAAAACAATGGTATATAATGCATTAGTTTACATTTGTAGAGTATTGAATAATGTTAAAGAAATCTTGATATACCCGTAACGTCGGGTACTTCAGCTTCTGGGTCAGTGACCTCCATCTCAATCAGGTTTTTGTCCAATTTCCTTGAGCAAATGCTGAAATGGCCCCTCGTTTTGCTTCTGGACATAAATTTAGCTTCACTATGCACAAGTTTTGTTGAACTCTTCTTTTGCTTGTAGTGATTGGAGTATAGCTGGGGGCGAGCTACTATTTTGTTAGCAATTCAGAAAAATTAAATCTGGAGTTTGCGAATGCTAATAAGTTTTCTACAACTCAGGAACAAAAATATCTTCTTTGTACAAATGTTGCTAATCTCGCACTTTATTTAACTTTTATCATTATAATTTATTTTATTTATTTCGTAACTTTTATTCATCTTTCACCTATTTATAGTTAAAATGTGTAACACAGTTGTTGTTGTGTGTGTGTGTGTGTGTGTGTGTTTTTTACTAAATCAAATCGTATTCATTTAACTAAATGCCTAGAACTGTTGCTGTCATTTTCAAAGTGTATTTAAAGTCAAAGAAATTTAAAGGAACAGCTTCAGCAGCACTCCAGCAGTCTAAAAAATTTTAAAAAATTTGCAACAAATTATGCTTTGGGAGAAATGCTTGAGATTTTTTTCAAGCCCATTCCAAGAGTCTAAGACACAGTAAAAGTTATAATTAAATTAAAATGTACACTTAACTTTTATTTCAAAAGTGAAAATATCTAATAATAGGCGGAGTGAATTATAAATTTAATCTTTTGTCATATCTCAACAGTGTTTAGTACTTGCCATTTGTTATGGTTTTCAAAAATATTTTTTTGCATTTGAATTTGGCTCTGAAAAACTTCAAAAATGTTTTTCTGATAGTATAAATGATTTTCTTATTTTTAATATTTTATCAATCAGATAAGGTAGTTGACAATAAAATTAAAATAAAATAAACTGCTGTAGAGATGTGTATGTTGTGAAATGGGGGCTAGTAAACCTTTCAAAAATATGTTAGAGTTAATGGTGTAACAATAACATAATAATGACCTACGAGATGTCATTGGTTTTAAGGAACTCTTTACCATCTTAGCCGTGTGTCTACACTTTCACTTCCACTTTTCAGTTCAATTGTATCATTTTTCAAATCATTGTGGTGATTTGAAAATGAATTTTTTGTGGAAGTGTGCAATATATTAAAATATCCTAATCTTATAGCTATTACGGAATCGTTTCATGATGACCATCCTATAGTACAAAGACGTTTTAATGTAAGATTCTTTTTATTTAAATCCATCATGGTTGATAATATGTTCCAGCGATGACCAATGAAAACAAATTCGTTCAAAAAAACTGTACGTAAAAATTTGTTTCATTAAACAGTAAAATATTCGAACATCTGATATCCCATTCATCGCATTTTTAAGCATAAGATTTGGATTATGAGAAGCACTAATCACAAATTATGCATGGTCAACTTCATCGAATTTTTTTCTAAACTCAATTGTTAATTCCATTCATAACTACTCTGCATACATCATATCTTTGACCTTTACATTTAGATAAATCGGTGCCTTGTTCTTGTTCAATGTTCTCGACAACATCAAAATGCAATCCTTGCGCTGATTAACCTTTGACTTTCTGAAACCCTATGTAAAATTACTGCATTTTTGTGTTAATCAGTTTGTCATATTCATTTTTCTCAATAGTTGCAATTAGAAAAAATTGGCTTTGGTGAACTTTTGATATGTTTTGCTTTATGTCCATTATAGTACAAAAACTGTACATATATTCCTTCTGTGATTTTATCAGACTCAATTAAATGACTTATTTTTTCGTTTTGAATTTGTGATCATGAATAGCATGGGGCCCCCAGACATATCCTGCTGGATAAGGAATTTACGCCATTGTGTGATTTTTTTATAAAGAGGTTTCACTGTA